GAGATCAATAAAATATTAATTTATACTACATTAGCTTGTATTAAATTCCTTACACGGTTTCAGTTTTCACTTTCTCCTTTTCTTATTCTAAAGTCTAAAACATTAACAAACGTTAGTATCAAGACTTTGTGTAGTTTTAGACCATCAACATAATATCTTTAAGTCTTATTAAAAATCTCATTTATCATTTATAAAATTTTTATTAGTTTTTCACATTAACTATTCATATTATTAGTCTTATTTATATCTTTTTTGTTAAAAATGTATTGCCATCTCATATCATTATTAATATTCTATCTCAATATATAAGATGGGCTATGAGCACTTTGTCAATACTAATTTTCATTTAACTATTAAATTAATTTAATATTTTATTAGAATCACTATAAAATTATATAATTTTGTGAAAAATGATGAGTGCATTTTTTTTTTGAAGGAACAATTACACATGTTAGGTTTTACTAATAATTTTGCCTTAGGCCTCAAAATATCTTCACACGGCTCTGCGAGTACGAACAATGAGCAACATGGCGATGTTCATTGCAGCCGCATTGATGACAACTCTGATGAAGAAGCTTATAGATCCAACGATAATACTAGCTTTCCCGTCTTTGTTCTTTGTTAAACTTGAAGCAAAAAATGTCGAAACCAAGGCTGCGAAGTAAAGAGAAGAAGTGAACAGCGTTAATATCTGATCATCGTTTACTGTAATCTGTCTCTTTAAGATGCGCGTGCTTGTTCGCAAACACATGCAGGAAGAACTCTTTCAGAAAGTCGTCCACAGATGTCACGCCACCTTCATAAACATATAATAGATCATGAATGAACCATACGTATGTGACGGACCAAATAACTTTATACACGCACGCGCGCACATGAGCAGGATCAACTCACCGGAGACACTTACCAAGATCATAGCCGAAGAGAGAGCCACCCATAGCACCAACAATGCAAGAGAAGATGAAGTAGAAGCTTGTAATCTTGAGTTCATATAGATGAGCACTTTTGGCTCCAGCATTGGTAAATCCTCCACCGGCCATTATTTCTTATTAATATTTTCTTCGTAATGTGAATGTCTATGTCACCTCGCAGACGATCTATGGTTAAATACTAATGTGTTTTATGAGATGAAAACAGAAATTGGTTAAGTGTGATTCGTTATAGTTCGTATACAGCTTTCATTCAACCTTATTTAAGATCTAGTAAATAATTCTGAGCCAAACCTTTGAAAAATTACCTTATGTTTTCAAATATAATACTTTGAGAAAATGTCTTATACATTAAATGTACGGAATATATAATTATACAAAGGCAAAGATTTGAAATTAACATCTCAATATTTCAGGCGAAAAATAAGGTGAATAATGACAACATGATGCTGATTAAGAGGGGAGGATTCAGTGTTTCTCACATATGGCTGTTCAAAATTTATTAAAATCATTGACTTTCTTGAAAGCATAGGATGGTGACATGTGTGGACAAGTATTGGATGGCTGTAATTGCTACAGGTATTGAATCCAAGTCCTTATATTGAAGGTGAAAAAAGAATCTCATTAAAGAAAAATTAAAGTTCATTTATTTTTCAAAAAAAATGCTTGCGTTTTGGCAGTCGTTCCCACTTATAAAATCAAATGTACAATAGTTACTCTATTTTCCCCCGGTGATAATAGCCATTGTTGTTTGCTTCTCTCAAAATTAAAGTTCTATATTAATAATGAGTTACATTATACTCATTTCCCAAATTTTGTATCTGCACTAGTTAATCAAGCTCAAAAGCGTCTAGTTGAGGAAAGTTATATATGAAATAAAATGATTCAAAAGAGACAAACTCATTCAGCTTATTGAATCCAATTTTGAAGAGCCGTAGAGGATGGTAGATATTTTTCATTAAGTGTTAGTATTTAGATTATCTATAAGTTATAATAATTAAAACATTATAATCTTATAATATTTTTTAACAAAAACTAATTTTGCACTCCCTTGTTCAAATTGTAAGACACGTCTATCTTCTAATTGATCATATGTCACATGCCAATAAAAATAGTTATTCTCTTAATTCCATGAAAAATGACATATCTTTTCATTTTCGCCCTTAATCCTTTCATTATGTGTATTATGAAGAGTGAGAAGTGTTTGGTCAAATTGTATTTCTCATGCCTACATTAATTAAAATAATTTCAAAAAGTACCAAAAATAACCAAGTGGCATGTAATTAAGTTTGCCGTTATGTTCACTCATTTCTTTCTTTTCCTTTGGCCAACAACACTTAGTGCATGTTTATGCTTTATAAATTACATGATTTGCTGTAAATATTTTATATTTATTATGTTAATGTTAATATTAATATTGATATTGGCTGATGACATATACTCTCTCCCAGTTAACCTATTGCGTGCAAAACCAAGGATAGTTAAATGAAAGTTTAATAATTCTCAAATTAAATTAAATATATACAAAATTGCAATCCTTCCTCCCTTTCATGAGAGAATTTTGGGAGTAGTGCAGTATTCACAAAAGTTGACGGGTCAGCAAAGGTTTCTTCTCTCTCTCTCTGTTTTTTTTTTTTAAAAAAATAAGGAAGGCAAGCTTGGGGCTTGAGATTGCAAAAAGACGAGGGTATCTAGGCAGCCATTAGCCTATCTTCCTGTAAAAATACATAAGAATCAGCAAGGATATCATAACAAAAGCAATTTCTCCACCACCTCTGTGGCTATTTTGAGCTATCACATTTGCATATCTAAGGACATCTTGATATGCATGATGAATCTCAACCTCCACATTACCATATATAAAACTACGTGTGGCATTAATTTCAACTTTCCAATGATGATGACCACTGAATCTCGAAGAAGCATATTGACAGCGTTCAAAGAGTCCAAATGGCGGCAGGCTTTCTGAAAACTAAGTTGATGACATACCTCCAATCTGGTTTTAATGGCAAGCTAAGTAATTCTGCTATTATGACTAGAACATCTCCCAAGTCTCTACAAAACCCCTAGATCCATTATCCATTAGAGTCTCTAATGAGGCCTATGCAAGTAGCATGTTGCCAGGGATTAATTGAGGCATCCATATCTATATGAACAGTATTGATTGGTCGTGATATCCATATACTTTCTGTTGTAATAGAGTTAGACAATATGATGTGCTTGAGTTGATTATCAATAATATTCTCATGAAGATAATAAAGAACACTATGAATTAGTTCATATGCGGTGAGACGAGATCCTTTAAATATTGAGTTGCATATATTTTTCCATATCAACTAGCATCCAAGTCCAAATATCTTCAACCAAGCCCATTTAGAGAATTTCTTGCTAGCAGGCTACTGCTTGGAATTCCAGTTGAACCATTCTTGCAAGTTGCAACAAAAGAAACTAGAATAAAAGTTAGGAGAAATCAAGTTTTGCCGAAATTCATGACAAATAAGACAATCACATATAATGTGTACAACACTCCCCTCTCTCTGACACTCAAAAGGATAATCCCTAGTAGGGGAGAGTCTAGGTTGGATCTTAGCTAGTGAGTTAATAAGAATTCTCCCAATAAAAGCTTGCCAAAGAAAAAAAAATGAATTTTTTCCGGCACTAGCCATTTCCAATACTTCTTTCATAGAGGGTTTGAAGGAGCTGTTTTATTATGAAAAACAAAATCATATGCAGATTTGACATTGAACCTGCCATCAAAAGCAACTCTCCAAACAAAAGGAATCACTAGTGTAACAGTTAGATAGAGTCATACGGCAGATTTTAACTACCACCTAGTCTGGTAAGAAAGCTCTCTAAGCATTAATATCCCAAGAACCATCTAACTTGACAAAATCCTTAACAGTGGCAGTAGGATTGAGGAGATGAAGATTTTTGTCAACCAAGGTCAAGAGAGGCTTATCAAGTGGAGACCATAAACCCTACCAACACTTCGTATCAAGGACACTACCTAGTTTCCTACCAATTCCAGCATAAAAAAGGTCTCAAATAGCTGTGATTCCCTCCCAAATTCTAGAAGAAGAACGCTTCTTACAAACTGACGGGATATGATGACCACCACATCTATATTTTGCTTTTAAGCACTTAACCCATAGGACATCAGATTGGGTGAGTAGACTCCAACAAAACTTCATAATAAATGCAATGTTCTGACTATATAAATCTTTAAACCCCAGACCTCCATGTTGCTTGCTTTCTTTGGCTATTTTTCAGGAAATAAGATGTATCTTGCGTTTCTCCAGTTTATGAGACCATAGAAACCTCTGGCTATAGGCCTCAATTTCCTTGATAATGCCCTTAGGAAGAAGAATCGTCTACATATAATAGCAGGGAAGAGCTAATAAGACAGATTTGATTAGAACTGATCGGCCTGCCATATTTAGGAATTTTCTTTGCCAAGAAGAGAGCCTAACAAAGGTTTCTTCTATGATAAGATAATTGCTAATCGAGCCCTTGGAGCTCTAAAAACTTAATAAATAATAGAGCACAATAGCGTCTTGCAATCCATGTAATCGACCCCACCTAGTGAGATAAAGGCTTGTTGTTGTTGTTGTTGTTGTTGCCCTTGGAGCTCGGACCTATTCATAGCGTTGACCATCCATAGACTCTGTTTTTTGTCAGGAGTGTATATGCCTAAGCGTTCTAATAAATTAATTTGAATGATTGAAGTTTAACTTTCAATGATGTTATTTAAATTATACTCTCTTCCTTTAGTATTGTAAGAAATTTTTAACTAATTTACATTCTATAATTAAAATTATTTTATTGGTATAATAATTAAAATTATTTTTAAAAAATTATATTAATTATGCACCGAAAGACTCAAAATATCTTCTACTTTTTAACATGATATTAAAAAAAAAGTGTCTTGTGATACTAAATGGAGTGAATAGAGAGGAAAAATAAAACATGAAATTAAAATGAATTTTGTAATTTTCTGGACAATCAATATAAAATCCCACGCAAAGAGAATTAAATGCCATTAGTGTTCCCTCCCATGTTATCCCCCCCCCCCAGCCGGCGGAACACGGGCTGGCATTGCTGATTCACACAAATAGAAAGCCACGCCTTACATTGGGTGGCTGGGCTGCCTCGGACGCACAATCAGATTACTCTTTAAGCATCTTTAGGAATTGGCCTTATTCATCGAACAATACGAACAAGCTCATGATCACGATGAAGAATACCTAGGTAGTATTATAAAGCGACTGGGCGGGATCATCCTCTGCATATCTTCTCCAGAACCAGTGGTTTTGAAACAGTAGATAAATCTCCTCGATCGGAACTTTCTTAGTTTCCGGTAAAAAGAAAAATACGAACGTGCTCATGATCACAATGAACCCTCCAAACAACAAGAATATTCCATATTTGAGATGGCATAGTGAGACCAGGAAGAACTGTGCCACCAACGCCGTGAAGATCATGTTCACACACACCACTACACTCTGTGCTGACGACCTTATCTCTAATGGGAAAAGCTCACTTGGAACTAGCCAACCCAATGGACCCCATGATCTTCCATACGCCAACACAAACAAGAATATCACTATCACCAGAAATATACTTATCCCTCTTGACAGTTGTTTCCCTCCTCCAAACTCTAATGCCAAAACTATCGCCACCGCCACCTATGCATGTAAATTATCAAGTTAATATTTGTAAACAATCTTGTAACAATTAACAAAACTAGGATTAACATATAAAACATATATGGAAGAGTTGTAAGATTACCAAGCAGATTAACATTTCAGCACCAGCTTCCAAGAATAGGGCTCTTCTACCAAACTTGTCGACGACAGCCATTGATATGAGAGGAGCCACGACGAGGGCAACGCTGGTAATAACAGAAGAGTACAGTGAAGCTCCATTCCCAAACCCTAAACTCTGAAAGATGACAGGAGCATAGAAGAGGATCGAGTTATTCCCGGTTAGCTGCTGGAAAGCCGGGATAGCTATCCCTCCAATGAGAAGTTGGGGTCTGTTCCTTCTTAGCAATAGGTTCTGGAATGGGTTCTTTATGGCCTGAGCTTCTCTGCTTGCCTCAATCAGATCTTCGAATTCTGCGTCCACGTTAGCGGTGCCTCTGATCTTCTCTAGTATGGTTCTTGCTTCTTCCATCCTGCCTTGTTCGACGAGACTGTTTGGTGTCTCTGGGCACAACACGCCTCCTATGAACATTAATGTTGCAGGAACTGTGGCTAAACCTAGAGATAATCTCCACCCCCAAGGATGTAGCTGCTCCGTGCCATAGTTCACCAGTGTTGCTACCAGAATTCCTATACAAGTTGTTAATTGAAATAGTTGGTTCACCGCTCCTCGTACTTTAGCTGGAGACATTTCAGAAAGATACAAGGGAACAGCCTGCACTATTTTGTCAACAATTCATATATGTAAGCATGACAATATAATTTAAACATCTATTAAAATCTGCATATTTTCAATTTTAGCCTAAAAATCACTCGCGTCTTCGCATAAGATATGGAACGTTCATATCATATGTAATGAGATTAACGCCTACTTTAGCGTTAGAAAGAAAACTAAAAAAAGTACTCTATTGAATAATCTTTGTTTACTACACACATCTTACAGGATTAAAGAACAAACACAAAGAACCTATATTCTGTAAAGTATTTATGATATTTAAGAGCTTTTGTTTGTGTGGGTGTTATGTTTCTAACATTTTGGGCAACTGAAATATAAAATTCATCAATAACATTAGTCTTTCAAATTATTTATTGAAATTAAACCAGACTAGCCATCTGAAATGTCATGGCACTTTCTCAAGACTTAAAGCTCTTCAATCCCCTTTCCCTTAAGAATTATTGCAAACTTATGTGTTGTAAAATAATTTCTTTTTAGTAATTGATCTTTTTTCGAAAAAAGAAATTAAATATCATGGCACTTAATCTGTCTTCTTGATGATCATATCTTGGTTTCATCAAAGGAGACGTTTAAAAGTAACAAAAGATTGAATCTATATTGTCCTATGCTTGTTGAAAATTTCCAGTCTTTCCCAATTATGATCAGAATCACGCTGCATATATAAAATCATACATATGTCATTTAAACACGATCGAAAGTGGCCTAATTTGTGTTATGTATTGACAAGTGAATGAAACATACCTGGTTACCGAATCCGATGCCAACGCCGAGAAGGATACGGCCGATGAGCAACATGGCGATGTTCACTGCAGCTGCGTTAATGACAGCTCCGACGAAGAAGCTTATAGATCCGACGATGATGCTGGCTTTTCTGCCCTTGTTCTTTGTTAGACTGGAAGCAAAAAATGTCGAAACCAGGGCCGCAAAGTACAGAGACGAAGTGAACAATGTTAATATCTGATCATCGTATTTGCAGTAATCTGTCTCTTTAAGATGCGCGTGCTTTTTTGCGTACACATGCGGGAAGAACTCTCTCAGAAAGTCGTCCATCGACGTCACACCACCTTCACAGATATCAAAATCATGAATGAACCATGTACACACACACACACACACACGTACTGGGACTAACCAATTAATTATATATATATATATATATATGAGCAGGAACACACCGGAAACACCGAGATCATAGCCGAAGAGAGAGCCACCCATAGCACCGACGATGCAAGAAAAGATGAAGAAGCTTGTAATCTTGTGCTGGTATAGATGAGCCCTCTTGCCGCCAGCACTGGTAAATCCTCCACCAGCCATTTTTTAAGAATCAATTTCTTTGTAATTAATGTCAATGCCTGTGTCAACCTACGAAGGAACTAGGGCTAAATACTATTGTGTTTGTAGTGAGATAGAATTTGAAAACAGAAAATGGCTGAGCAAGAGTGCTTGAACTTTATGTGCAGAGCTGCGTTCACAAAGCTTATTGGTTATCTGTTTGAGAAGATGAAACAGAAAGGGAAATTAGTTTGGCTTGATTTAGGAAAACAGCCTCGATCGCTGAAGACACTTGACTTTTTCTTTGCCTTAGAACTCGACAACACCTTGTCTTACTCCCCTGTCTTTCTCCTCTTTTCTTAATTTCATCATCATCATCATCGTCATCATCATTATTATTATCATTATTATTATTATTATTATTGGTATAATTCTTCTTTTCTTCTTTTGAAACTATAGACAAATTTTAATTACCGCAAAATATGAAAAACAAATAAAAAATAAATTCATATTCATTTTTTTGTTGTCCAAGGTATCCTAATAATTAGTAACCATGAGATTAATATCTGGAGGAATTTAAGAGTCATTTAGATTGTCTTCTGCCAAGCAATGCTTTTTCATACATACTTTCAGAAATTGAGCTCTAAATTGATAGCTATATGAGGCCGCAAGCATCTACATCACACCCACTTGGTATTTATATTCATGATTTATTTAACAATTACATTAAAAAATACTATATCTTATAATTTTATACGTAAGTTGGTCCATTCGGTGTGTGTGGGTGTGATCATTTTTTCATTTATGCATAGGTGTGTGAAGATATACCGGTATTATAATGTTCAATATTTCATTAGCAATTTATCATGAAGTTTTAATTTGAGCATTTCAATTTACAAAATTAGAAAGAAACATAATTAAGATGCAATAATATTGAAGACAAGAAAAGTCCATTTTCCTCATGGATTTGATTCGCGAGAAAGCTAGAAATTATTATTATACATAGATGTGATGAGCACCTTGAGCACCGAAACCGGACGCAATTTCCCTCGACCGGTGAAGAAGAAGAAACTAAGGATGTCATTAGCAGAGCTGTGAAGGGAAACGCTACGACATGACTTTCATTCATGGATTTGGTTCGTGAGAAAGCTAGAAAATTGAATGTTCTCATAGAATTAAGAAATCACGAAGGAGTCAAATTGGATTTCGCAGTGTTTAAAAATGATCTCTCAGCTTAAAAAAAATTTCTCTCACAAAAGCAGAGAAAAAAAAATATATATATATATATATAAGGAAAGAAAAGAACAACCCAAAAGAAACCAATATATTCAAGGGAGAAAAAGTTCACGCGTGATATGGATATACTTAGTGTACTAATTTTCCATGCATTTTCATGAAAATTTTTACGAAAAAAGCATTTAATTATCATGTATTCTGTAATAGCCCAAAAAAATATTATAATAACAATAATAAGTATATATATAAGTTGGTGTTTTTTTGGAAACATGTGTGACAAGAAGAAGACTTGGTTTAGTGGTTACTATGTAACCATTTATGTAAAGGGTCCAAGTTTCAAATCTGCTGAAGCGCAAATGGAGGGGGTTTGTTTTAGTTATTTTAGCCTTATGAAATTACCATTCTACCTTCTCCCTCATCAGATTAAAGTTATCCCTTCTCTTCCTTATTCAGTCGGTGCACTGAGAGAGAGAGAGAGAGAGAGAACTTGAGAGTGTTCTCCAATCTTCTACCATCACCGACCATCTCTTCCTTCTTTGTTCCTTGCTGTCGCTTGCATCAGAGGAAGCTCGCCACTGCTCAGCGTCGATCAAGATCAAGTCGTTAGAGCTGGAAGGTTTTACTCATGAGATCTTCCTTCCTCAAGTTCAGCCGTGAGCCTCGTTATTCCTTTCCATCTGTGCTCCCTGTTTTTGCATCTTCTCTGAGTGTTGTTTTGTCCGTGTTATTCTTACATTGTTGTGTGTAGTGACAGCGTTCAACTTATATCTCCCCTGTTCAGCCGTCTGTTTCAACTTCTTCATCCTTGTTTTCTGTCGTGGTGAGTTAAGGTAAGGAAGTTTCATGTTTAGGCTTCTCTTGCTCTGTGTATATGTGAACTGGTGATTAAAGTAGCAAAACTTGGCTCCCTTATTGCTGTCTGTGACTGTACGTGGGTGATTGAAAAAAAAAATAATTTATGCATGCCTTCTGTTGCTGTTGTGCCGTGCTGTTATAGGAGAGAGAAGATTCAAATTTAAGTTGGAAGTACATTCTAAAGTTTGATAAATATAAATATATGGGTCATAATTTTTAGAGCTAAATAAATCTTATTTGAATTGAATATGGTTAAAAAAACTATTAAGGAAAGATCAAAAGAGAGTAGCTTAGATACATAACTTAAATAATTAGAATTTATGCACCTAAAGTAATTGGTGCAAAACCTATGAAAATTTTTTTAACTTAAGAATGGGAAAGGTTATAAGTATGAAGGATAATGCTTAGTGGGAGAAGTATGTTAGTATGGAAGCTATTGGATTATGAATGGATTGTTTTGACTTAAACAAATTAGTGGGGATTAGTTATATTAATGATAACACTTGGATCAACTCTAAATATGATGTTGGTTTTGAAATTTTAGATGGTGGTTGATTTGAAATTTTGTTAAAATTTTATTTATTTATATCTTTATTTATAAGGTGTGTGGAAGAACATGACTCGGACAAGAATTAAAGGAAGAATATTTTGAGAACTTGAACTCCAATGTGCAAGTGAATAGCATCCCCTTAAGTTATTTTTAATTTCATTTTCAATAAACTTTTATTAAAATATTTTACTCTTAGAAATTACGTTAGTTTTGGAACTTTTGAAATATTAATGATGGATAATTAGATGATGATATGTGCATTTATTTTCTCAAGAAATATATTTCAAAGATTACGAAATTAGTTATTTGTAAATCTCTAAAAATTCTTGGTTATTCAATTAACGCAAGTTTATACATTATTTATGAATATTATTTTCAACAAGTGCTACATTGAAATTTGAAATGATTCATGCGAGTTTGGTATTGAAAATACAAATTGTATTTTAAAAGTAATTATTCTTCTCGCATGTTTGAAACATGATTTTTTAAGAGGACTCTAAACAGAACACTGCTGCTAACGGTAGTTCCGTTAGCCCGTAGCGTGCTGTGGTTATGCACTAGCTAGTTTATCTCGTAAGCTTTATTCTCACGTTTGATATTCGTGGCCCTTGTACCCGCCTTTGATTTTGTAGCTTGAGCTAAGTTTAGTTATTTATCCTCATGGACTATGTGTTCATATTTGTTTTCATAACTTTGACTGTATTTGGTTACTTACCCTCGTGGATTATGTGTCCACGTTTATTTTCATGACATAAGCCGCGTTTGGTTATTTACCCTCGTGAATTGTGTGTTCACATTTGTTACCTGTTCTGTTGAGTTCTTAAAATTCTAAATGTTGACTAATGTGTTTTTGATATTTACATGATTTTGGCTAGCAATTATGTCACTCTGATTTGTGTGTGAGTAAATTGTTTTCTTTAAGCATGACAAAATAATTTGCTTCTAATTCACTCTTATTTTACGATTATGGTTACGACTTACAAACCTACAAGTTTCTTATGTTGAATTATTATTTTTAGTTTACACCATTAATCGAGTTTGAAAATTTAAATTTTTAAAATTTTATTTTGGGAATGCTATTCACTGAAAAATTTATTTTGGTCTCAAATTTGTTAGCTGACGCTGATCCCACCACTGACCTCTGAAGGGCAATATAGCTACAATAGGTGGAAATTGTGGTTGGTACTATTACTTTTGAAGTAAATATATAAGTCGTATGTATTTTTGATTTAAAAGAAAGATTAGTACTCCACATAAATTATTGTTAGAATTTTATTTTGATCTATATATACTGTTGCTGGCTAGAAGGAGCTAAGCTCCTGATTGATACTGTATTTTATGAAAATTTTGTTGTAAAATTTTTGAGAATTCTATTTACATGGGAGATTCTATCAAAATTTTGTACAAAAACGTTAAAGTCTTGTTATGACAATTAATTAATTTTACAAGTGTTAGAATTTTTATATGATATGATTATTTCTTTTTAGAAAACGGAATAAATTTTTATTTTAAGGCTTACGAGAATACGTGATATAATTTGCACCCGTGCCGGTCACCCTCTATTTTTGGAACATGATGTATTTTGTCCAAAAAAAAGAAGAATTTGTTCTATTTTAGTGACATGGATGTACATTAACAATATACTTCTATTTCAAAGAATAAACCTTACATATGAAATGGATTGGATCATTGGACGATACTCTATATAATGGATCAGTTTAGCTAGCATATGTGGGATGGAATGGAAGAGATTCCGTGACTTCTTCCTAAATTTTGAACTTGAAAGATACAAGAGACTTTTCAAGTTTTAAAGTATAGAGAGAATTATTGTCAAACTCTCACGTTAACTCTACGAGTTTATTATTTTTACATTTATAGTTTCAATAATTGTGTTGACTCATTTATAAACTTGAATTAGATAAAAGTCAATTAAACTCGCAAGTTGACTATCATTTATTATTTTTATGTTTCTAGCTCATAAAATTGTGCCAATTTGCTCATAAACTCATTTAGCAAAATAGGTATATATTGTGTAGAATTTGATTCATAGAAGTAGTAGGATCCGATTCAATGAAAAATAAAACTAATATTAATAAAAAATATCAAAAAATAAGTTGACCTATTTTAAAATTTCTATATTAAGTATAATAATTTATGAATGCAAATAGATTTAATTTTAATAATTTTTATTTAAAATATATTTAAATTAAATTGATCATAGAGGTAAACTTTTATAAATTTATAATCTGAATCTACATTTTGAGTTTACATCCCTGTCGTGAATTTACTTAAACTCACAAGTCTTACAACCTTGGAGGGAACACTTAAAATTTGATATGTTTTATTTAAAAAAGGAAGACATATTCTGATTAAATTACAATCCATTTAAAAAATATACTTTTATTTAACAAATTAAAATATTTAGATAACATTTCAATAAACAAAGTTGGGTGTGCATTGGTATAAGTTTTCCAACCGATACTTGTCATTAAAAAAAAAATCCATGCTAAACCACCATATACTACCCCGTCCCA